AACAAAGAATACAAAATAAATTTTCAATGTAATTTAATAATATTTATTTTATCAAAAAAAAATAAACTTTAATTTGTTTGCCTAATATGCATATCGAACAAAGAATACAAAATAAAAATAACTTTTAATTTGTTAGTCCAATGTTTGTATCGAACAAAGAATAAAATAAACTTTCATTGCTCTTGTTTTTTTATAAGAAGCTTGTAGTATAAATAGGCTAAGGAAGTTGTTTTTTCTTTCTTAATATTATCATTTTTTTTATATTTTCGCTCTTAATTTTTATTCAATATCTTAGTCTTTTTTTTATTTTCATTATGATTTACAAGAAGAGTAAAGGAATTGTTAAAAAACCCACCATTTCATTACAAACAAAAAAACATATACACAATAAAGTGCTATGTTTCTGTAGTAAGTATAATAGTATAGAAAGAGACCCAAGAGTTAAAGCTAGACATGAAGCAGAAGAACAGAAACCCTTTATTGTGAAGGAAAAATATATTATTTCAAGGTGGCAGATGGGCTATCGGCTAGTTGATACCTATAACAGAGAAGGGTCCTTAGATATGATGAACAGAGTTGTTCTAATAAATCAAGATAATATTGGTTCTACAGATAGTAAAAATTGTTTTTTTTTGTTTCTTATTTTATCTTTTTTTTTTTATTCTAATTTCTCTAATTTTTTTTTCTTTTTTCTTTTTTATATTTTATAAAAAGATATTATTCAGATAGTGAAGAATTTAATTTAATGCCCCTGCCACAGCCAAAAAATCTTCAGTTTCTTGTTAGGCAGCTTCCCAAAGATTTCCATAACACAAAGATATCAGCTTTTTATCCTGATAAAGATTTGTCCCTTTTTTCTAATGATGAAAATGAACATGATGATCTAAAAAGTAATAAAACTGATGAAACTGAAGAAGAAAGTAAAAAAGAAAGTGAAAAAGAAAATATAATAAACTTTGATGCACCTAATTTAGAGTATAGCCCTAAAACTAATATCTGAACTGTTGATAAGGATATACTGCAGATTGTATTATGGGTTTTCTATTATCAAAAAAGATTTCATCTTTCTAATACAAGCATTAACTCTTTAATTAAATATTTGTGATATTTGTTAACTTATATAGACAAGGATAAATATTATAGCTTTCTTATTTCAATCGATGTAGCAAATAATATGATTAATATATCTAATAATGCAACAAATTTTGCTGCATGTGAATTTTGTTGCAAACTATATAATATAAAAGACATATCAACAACCAAAGCAGAACAAACTCTGAAAATACTTCACTGTACTTATATAGAATTTCTAAACTATATTAATATCAGCAGAAAAGCACCATGCAATGCAATATTTTCAAAGAAAATCAAGATAAAAAATAGTATAGTCAGAAAGCCGATAGCCCTTTATCCTATAATAAATTTGAAAAAATTATTTGCTGAGTTATTCCAGAGATTAGGATTTAAAGAGGCTTGTAGGAGATGAGTCTATCGATTTTCCAAACTTTAATTATCAGATATATATAATAGTAGAATATAAAAATCATTCTCTGATAGTGAAGAGATGCTATTTTTTTACCCAAAAACAGCCAATAGCCATATAGATCTAATGATAAATTTAGATTAGTTTCAACTATTCAATTTATCTCTATATAGTGTGGAGGTTATATATGCTATTATATATAATCTTCCTTGTCAAGAAAGGTTTTTGTTCTGTTTTTTTTTTTTTTTCTTACAATTGTTCTTTTTTTCTTATATTCATTAATCAAATATGATATTAATTTTTTATATGAAAGGTTTAAACTATCTAACATAATAATATTAGCTATCATACTTGGACCTTCAAAACCAAAGCTAGATTAATTGAACTACTATTTAGTACCTATAGTTGACCAGCTTATAGAACTTTGGGAAGAGATAGATCTATCAGCTACATTTAAGTCTCTATCTAACAAGAGAATAAAATGTGCTGTAATTTGTTGTTCTAGTAATTTATCTGTAGCAAGAAAGCTTTGCAGACATATTTCAACTAAGGCTGCATATCATCGTTGCTACAAAAGAGCTGATTACGGCATCTAGAATCAACCTCATTTTGGTGATATTTTTGATATAGATTCCTGGTATGTAGAACGTAACTACAACTTTATCCGAAACAATACAATAAAATAGAAAAGTTGTAAGACAGCAGATCAAAGAAAACAGCATGTTTCTAATACTCTTGTCAGATGATCAGAAATTCACAGGCTTTCATACTTCAATTCTGTTAGGTTTCTGGTGGTAGACCTAATGCATTGCTTTTTTTTAGAAATAGCAAAATGTATAGTAACAAAATTATGAATTGAAGGTGACTAGCTGACTTCTCAAAAATTAGAAATTATGCAGTTATCAGCTAACCAAATCGATGTACTATCAGATATTAGTAGAATTCTATGCAAAATTTTTACCGGAAAAAGATTTTCAAAATTCACATCAGATCAGTAGAAGACCTTTATTCTCATATATGCAACCACAATTTGTTAAGATTTGCTGTGTGATGCTGATAGAAAGATTTTGACTTATTTTGTTCGGGCATATAGCATATTAGTTTGTAGAATTATTGGTGAAAAAGATTTGGAAGAAGCATATCAATATCTAATAGTGATGATAAAAATTATTGAAGAAATATATAGTCCTGAAAAAATATCACCAAATATTCATCTAAGCCTCCATATATATGAATATACTTTAGACTACAGACTCTTAAATTCTTTCTGGTGCTTCAGTTTTGAACGAATGAATAGATTATTAGGTAAATAATATATGAAAAATTAATAATTTAGCTAATATCCCTATACCCTATCTTAAAATTCGTTTAATTACTAATTTGGTTATGATCAGTACTAATCACGTGCAGATCATTATAAAAATTGAAGATAATTGATATAATAAAATCTATTATAGCGCTAGAATCTGAAGCTTATCTACCAAATAGTAAAAAGAATACACTAAGCTCAAATTACTCTATTAGAAATAGATGTTTTGGATGAGACTTTACATTATGGGCCATATTCTCATTATTGGTAGAAAAATAAGACTTTTGATGATATATTATATTTTTTTATTCGTATTGGACAAAAAACTAAAGTATACTTAATGATCGTGAGTTTATTATTACTATAGTAGTTAGCCATCCTAACAATCCCTATTTGTCTAGTTATACTTATCAAAGCGATACTTTTATACTAAAACTCTAGTTCATGATTTTAGTACCGCTATTTCTTCAATTTATACTAGTATTTTTAATACTAAAACCCATTATTTGGGCCTGCTTATTATAGATTAGACAGATCGTGACATTGTTTTACAATTATTAGTTGATGTTTTTTTTTTTTTTTTTTTTAATTTGGGTTAAATTAAAATTTTTGTTTTTGAGATCGGGTCTTCTTCAAGGAAAGATTAGAATAAAGGTGGTTCAGATTATTAATCATCATTAATTCATATGTATGGTAAAAAACAAGATTTATATATTTCGTCTATAGAGGATGATATATGTAAGATTGAAGTTTATCAAGACTCACAATTAAAGCAGATAGTTAAGGGAGTATCTCTGAATGATGTTTGGGAGCATTTTAGTATTAGCAAATACAATGACATTCAACTTTTTGGCCTTGACTATGCTGTTACTCAACAATTAATAAAGCAATATCGAATTCCTACTTGTGCACCAAATCAATAGCAAGATTTTTCTCTTATCAAAACTCTTTACGATTATTATGTGAAATGAAGAATGTTTTCTAATATTAGCTGGTATGATCTTTTTATTAGTTGGCTAGCACAAAAAAGTAGTATTATTGAGCTAAATTCTGTGTTTATTTTGCTATATCCTAAAGATTATCAGTTTAGTAATCGAGAATTTAATGCATAGCGATCAATATTTTGTACTGCTAGTGCTCATGATATAACACTTTGGTCTTATACAGAATTAAAGATATATAATAAAAGTTTTACTCGACTAATACTTATGAAAATTTATAATATAAACTTTATTTTCACTTTATTAAATTAGTATCAATTTTGGACAAAGTCTAACCTGCCAGACCATGATTTTGCAATACTTAAACAATTCTATGAATTAGGATTTCTAATAAGTGTATCTATTCATATACCAAATGCAACACATATTTTTTGAAACTTTTTTCATGTGCCTTAAGTAATAACAAAAAAACTTTGGATGAAAAACGATGTATTTTATCAATAATTGCTGAAGATTTTATCTATAATGAATTAGAAGAAAATTTAGATATAAGCTTTTTTTGTAGGTTAAATAATATATGTAAAATTTTAAAATTAATTATTTAAAATTAAAAAGTTGGTTATTATACAATCTCTGAAGCCTGTAAATATGCAAAGTCTTATGATCACAGTACACCTCCTCTTGTAAAACCAATTATTCATCATGTAAAATTAACAAAAAACAACTAAATCAATTTAAACTCTTTTTTGCTGACAAAAAAAATATAAATATGTCATCATATAGAACTGAAACATCAACTGGCTTACCAATTCTGTATCTTCAAAACTATAAAAAAGCCTTATAAGAAAAATTTCATGAAAAATATCCAAATGGAATGCAATGTATATCATTTATGACTCACTTACAAGGTGGCCGATATGTGTATAAGGATAATCTTGATAGAATATATTCAACTTGCAATGAACTTGGATATGAGGTATTTGACGAAATAGAAAAGCTTTTAAAGTTACATATTAATAATAATGATCTTCAGGTATATAAATAAAAAATATATATATATTATATATATATATATATAAAATATTGTATTATAGCGATAGAAAAAAATCACTTATCTTGGACAAATATAACCAGTTTTGCAATATGTTTATACTTTTTTCCTATATAATACTCCATATTATATGATAACACATATGTTTTCATATACAAAGTATTATTTGGTTAAGTATATAGTAAAACTATGCTTAAAATATATGTATTATATATACTCTAAGTATAGTTTTACTATGTACTCGATTATTTGATTACAAATACCAGTATTTTTGAAAATACATACCAAATATCTATATATCTTATCCAC